TAAATATATCTTTATTGATTTCAGAGAGAGGAAAGGAAAGGGAGAGAGAGAGATAGAAACATCAATGATGAGAGAGTCACTGATCGAGCCTGCAACCCAGGCATGTGCCCTGATCGGGAATTGAACCCGGATCGCCTGGATCCCAGGTCAACGCTCAACCGCTGAGCCACGCCCGGCCGGGCCCAGTTTTATATTATATAGATCTTAGCCAGGTTGCATACTGTACTGGGAAATGATAACACGCTGTGTAAGTTTTTGCAAATCTTTCAGTGAGCACAGTCATCCCCTTCCACCCATTGAAACCGAAAGTTTACCAAGCTATGGCAAATATAAAAGAGGAGGCTGCTAATTCACAACAGCCTCTGTGAGCATTATTGATTCTTTAGTTGGAAACTGATACCTCTCTTAATGAAGGAAGAAATTTTAGGGAAAAAGAGAAAAAGCGCAATGCCCAACAAGGAGACAAATCAACAAACCAAAAAATAGTATAGTAGTATGAACAAAAGACTTCATAGGGCCCGGCTGGGCGTGGCTCAGCGGTTGAGCGTTGACCTGGGATCCAGGCGATGGGGGCTCGATTCCTGGTCAGGGCACATGCCCGGGTTGTGGGCTCGATCAATGACTCTCTCATCATTGATGTTTCTGTCTCTCTCTCCCTTTCCATTCCTCTCTCTGAACTCAATAAAGATATATTAAAAAAAAAAAAAAAGACTTCATAGACAATGTATTTTCATTTTTGCAATAGACTTTTAAATTTTGTTAAATTTTCATGTTTCATTATGTCTTTTTTAATGTCCCTGTTTTATTTTCTGTTCTTTTATCTTTTTATGGCCAAATTGCCTTACAGCCAATTAATTATGTAGTGAAAATGCTTATAGCAAAGATGTTTACAATGATGCTACTTAGAACCCCTGCAGAAACATGGTTCAGCTAACAGTGAGCACCAACTTCCAGAGACATGACTGAGGCCCTCAAAGACCATGCGTCCACAATTAAACCACCATGACTACATGATTCCAGGGAAGCCAGCTGAAAAACCGCCTACCCGATCCCCGACAATGAAATTATGAGCAAATATAATGGTGGTTGTTTTAAATCACTAAATGTTGTGTTGTTATGCAGTGATAGATAACTGTTACATTAGGTCTGGAGTAGATTAATATCTGTGGAAATGAGAAGAGGTGTACACAAGACATTTGTAATAATCCATGTTTATTGATGACTCTTCAATGAAGGGGCTCCGGGAAGGGACAAAGCATGTCAAAGAATATTAGAATTTAGATATTAGTGCAAATGTCAGAGTGAGTTCAGGAAAGGAGTTGCATGAGCGGTTTTCAGGAAAGCATTTCTGCCTCAGGGTCTTAATATATGGTGACAGGAGAAGATATGACTTTGGGCACACAGTGTAATATACAGATCTTGTAACATAGAAACCCACACCTGAAACCTGTATGTTCATATTGACTATTGTCACCCCAATAAATTTAATAAAAATTTTAAAAAGAGAAAAAAATATTAACTCATTTATTTTTGAAAAACAGATATTAATAATGATAATATTTTAAAGATTCAGTTTAATAAGTATATTTGTAAAGCTTTAAAGGCATTGCAAGCTAGGCACTTTTTACTTTACATGAAAAAATCAATTTTTAGAATAAACGGGAAAGCATGTAAACTCAGAATCAATAACAATTTATATTGCACTAATGGTAAAATTCATTTCACTGTATTAGCTGTCCACTTGTACAGAACTATATCCACTTAGTGATCAGATTGCTAAAACCAGGGCTTCTCAGAATTTACAGGTTAAATTTACAGACAGAGATTACCAGTGGTATTTACAGCTTGATAGATGCTGCTGAGTGCTGACTATGCTCATTGACCTGTTCAAGAAGAAACAGTTCCTCAGATGTTTAGCATGTAGCTTTGTGTTGAAGAACACTAGCCTGAGGGAATGTGTCAGTCAAATCCTCTACTTTAACGTATTTTAAAAAATCAATACAGAGAATCCAGAATGAGGTGAAATGGAAATACAGTCATAACTAAAAGAAACGGCAGTAAAGAAAGTCTAAAAAGTGGAGGAAATGGATAATGTGAATGAAGTAGAAATAACCCAAAGGCATTTTTACAGGCTGTAAGAATCATGGAAAGGAATGTATGCTACCTAAGTCATATGACTGAGCGAAGTTCTCTTGTAAATGGAAGGACAAGATTTTTTAAAAGGATCAAAGTGAATGAATTTTAAGGACGTTGAACCCATAAAACAGTATTAGAGAAACAATAGCATTGTTGAAATGAGTGCTTTAGATCAAAGGGGGACCATACATTCGGATATATCATTTCTTTAAGATTTGTGGAGTGTGTGTTTTTAAAGCTGCCCCAGTCTCTTAAATATTGCTGCCTACCGAGGATTTAGGTTATTAATCTTCCCTCAGGCTGAGGAGACAAGGACTGAGAGAAATTATTTGGATGTGGGAATCTGGACGATCTGTGTGATTTCTATTGCATATTAACTAGCTGGACCTTCGCGGTGGACGGACATGCGGAGAGTCAGTAAAATCAGAGAATGGGGTCTTCTGGTCAATCTCGCACCTTGGTTTGTAAGGAAACATGTATATACAGAAGTTTACCAACTTTCCGGAATTAGAATAGAAAATACACCAATCTGAACCCCTACCTTCCTTCTCGCTTCTGTCTAGTCTGCTTCCCATGCTCATGACGGCCACGTGTCTGTGCGGAGCTGTTTTTGGTTTAACCCCAACAAGAATCTATGCGGAAGGGCCTGACAACGCCACTGCTCCTGCCGCACCCCCAGTTCTGAAGGGTCCCTAACTCCAAGAGCCCGAAACCGACGCTCCTGCCAGGTCGCGGCTCTGGAAGCACGGCCGGGCTCCGGGAGGCGTGGGAACCAGAGCGGCGCGCTCCTCCCCTGGGGCTGGGCGGAGCGGCCGCGCGGGGAAAGGGGCCGGGCGGTGCGGGAGGCCC